CTTCCGCGTGGTGGCCTACTACCACGTGCTGCCCGGGGAGATCGTGGCCGACTCCGTCTGGGTGGACGTCAAGGACACCTGCATGGGCACCGTGAGTGTCCCCCGCCGGCCCCGGGGGGTCCAGGGCTCCTGGGGACACTGGGGACGGGCCCTGGTGGTGGCAGGAGTGGTCCTTGAGATGGCCCTGGAGGGGTGCGGGTGGTTTTGGACGTGCTTGGGGGGCTCCTGAGGGACCTGGGAGGGCCTTGAGGGGTTTTGGGAAGTCCTTGAGGGCCTTGGGTGGTCTTGAGGGATCTGGGGGGGCTCCTGAGGGACTTGAGGGACCTTTGAAAGGGTTTGGGGGACTCTTGAGGGACCTTTGAGGGATCTGGGGCACCTTTGGAAGGTTTTAGGGGGACCTTGGGGTCGTTGGGGACCTTCGGAAGGGCTTGAGGGGACATTGAGGGACCTGGGTGGCCCCTGGAGGGGATTTGGTGTCACTTGGGTGGTTTTGGACACTCCGTGAGGAGCTTGGACATCTCCTGGGTGGCCCAGGTGGCCCTGGTGACCCAGTGATGGCCCAGACATGAATCCCATGGCCACCAACTGCCCCTGGAGGCCCGGACTTGGTGTCCCCCGTGGTGGGGGGGACAGAGGTGGCTTTTGGGGACATCCTGGGGACATCACCCCCCGTGTCTGTGGCAGCTGGTGGTGAAGGGGGCGACGGAAGGTGACAACCGTGTCCACGAGCCGGGGACACCGATGAGGCTGCGCATCGAGGGCGACCACAAGGCCCACGTGGGGCTGGTGGCCGTGGACAAGGGCGTCTTCGTCCTCAGCAAGAAGAACAAGCTCACCCAGACCAGGGTGGGTGGCCCTGTCCCTGCTGTCCCCAAGGGCTGGCCATCACGGCTGTCCCTGTCCCTGCTGTCCCCGGGTGGTGGCGGTGGCCATCACGGCTGTCCCCACTGTCCTTGGATGGTGGCGGTGGCCATCACGGCTGTCCCCTGTGGGCGCAGGTGTGGGACACGGTGGAGCAAAGTGACATCGGCTGCACGCCGGGCAGTGGCAGGGACAACGTCGGGGTCTTCACGGACGCTGGCCTGAGCCTGACCACCAACGTCCAGCTGAGCACCCCGCAGCGGTCAGGTAGGGACAGCCGAGGTGGCACCTCGGGGATGGGGGGGTGGCACCTCAGGGATGGGGCGGTGACCCTGAACTTTGGGATGTGACACCTGGGACACCGCGGGGTCCTGACCAGTGTCCCCTCTGTCCCCAGATGTCCAGTGTCCCCAGCCGGCCAAACGCAAGCGCCGCTCGCTGGCACTCGCCGAGTACAAGGGCACCAAGGGTAGGTGGCACTGGGGTGTCCCTTGTCCCCAGGAGCACCGGAGGTGTCCCTTGTCCCCAGGAACGCTGCAGTGTCCTGTGCCCCTGGGGCCACCAGGGTGTCCCTTGTCCCCAAGGTCACCAGGTGTTCCTTGTCCCAAAAAGGCCACCAGAGTGCCATGTCCCTGAGGGCCACCAGAGTGTCCCATGTCCCAGTTAATACTGGTACCTGTTGTCCCTGAGGGCCACCAGTGTGTTTGATGTCCCAAAGGCCACCAGAGTGTCCCCTGTCTCGAAGGCCACCAGAGTGTCCCACACCCCCAAGAGCCACCAGAGTCCCACACCCCGAGGTCCCCACCCCCGGGAGCCACCGGGGCCGGTGCCAGCCGTGTGCCGGTGTCCGGCAGCGGCCGAGTACTCGGGGAAGCTGGAGCGGAAGTGCTGCGAGGACGGGATGAAGGAGAACCCGATGGGGCACGGCTGCCAGCGCAGGAGCGAGTACATCCAGGAGGGCGAGTCCTGCGTCCGCGCCTTCCTCGACTGCTGCACCTTCATCAAGGCCAAGCGGGACCAGCAGAACGTGGCCCTCGGCACCGGGCTGGCCAGAAGCAAGTGCCGGGCCCTGGAGGGCGGGAGGAGGGACCTCGGGTGGAGTTGGGGTGAAGGTTGGGAGGGTCTCGGGCGGGTTTTGGGTGGTTCTTGGTGAACCTCAAATGGAGTTGAGGGGTTTTTCTTGAGCAAAGCTTGGGTGAAGCTCAGGTGGACCTTGAGGGAAGTTCAGGTGGACCTTGAGGGAAGTTCAGGTGGACCTTGGGTGCTCCTTGGGTGTTCCTCAGGTGAACCTTGGGTGTTCCTTGGGTGTTCCTCAGGTGGAGCTCGGGTGAAGGTTGGAAGGGTCCTGGGTGGGTTTGGGTGGCACTGGGGTGGCACTGGGTGGCACTGGGGTGACGCTGGGGTGGCACTGGGTGGCGCTGGGGTGATACCAGCTCTGCTCAGGGCTTGGAGCCCTGAAGCCACGTTCGAGAGGGCCGATGCCACCACCCCCAGGCCAGGAGGAGGACGATCTCTTCTCTCCGGACTCGGACATCGTCTCGCGGACCCTCTTCCCCGAGAGCTGGCTGTGGCAGGTGGAGCAGCTGACGGAGCCACCCAACGATCTGGGGTGAGCCTGGACCTCCTGTCCCAGCACCCTTCCACCCCACGGCCCAGCCAGGGCACGGTCACCCCGTCCCCATCCAGCTCGGACATCTCTGGAGACCAGTCATGGTCACCCCAAATCCAGACATGGTCACCGCTGACCTCCTGGTGCGACCTCAGGACTTCTTGGTCCACTTGGGGATCATCTCCAAGCTCCTGCTCCTGCCTGGGGCTCTGTGGGTCTGGAACATCTCTGGGGACCAGGGAGGTCCCACGGTGACCCCCCCTGAGCCTGGGGTGGGCCGTCACCCCCTTGGTCACTCCTGTCCCCTGCAGGGTCTCGGCCAAGACGCTGCCCGTGTACCTGAAGGACTCCATCACCACCTGGGAGGTGCTGGCCGTCAGCCTCTCCCCCTCCAAAGGTACGGGGTCATGGAGGACCAGGGGGGTTCCTGGGGAACGCCCCCAAACCTTGGTGGGGTCCTTGAGGCCTGAGGGGTCCCCTGAAATCTGGAGATGCCCCAAAGCTTGGTGGCCATCCTTGGGACTTGAGGGATCTGCTTGGGACTTGAGGGGATCTCCAGAGTCTTGGGAGATCAAGGGATCCCCTAAACCTTGTGAGGATCCCACAGTCCTTGATGGATCCCCCAAACCTTGTGAGGACTCCCTGGACTTCCAGGGACCTCTGAAGCCCCCAGGGCTGCCGTGGGGACACGAGGTGTCCCCCCACCCCAAATCCCCGCGTGTCCCCCCACCCAGGGCTGTGCGTGGCCGACCCCTACGAGATCACGGTGATGAAGGACTTCTTCATCGACCTCCGCCTGCCCTACTCGGTGGTGAGGAACGAGCAGGTGGAGATCCGCGCCATCCTCTACAACTACTGGCTGCACGACATCACGGTGGGTCCGGGGGCATTTTCTGGGGACGCCGCCCCCCGCCCCGGACCCGGCGCGTGACGTCCCCGTCCCCGTCCCCGTCCAGGTGCGCGTGGAGCTGCTCCACAACCCCGACCTGTGCAGCCCCTCCACGGCCAAGCAGCGCTACCAGCAGGTGCTGCGCATGAAGGCCGAGTCCTCGCGCTCCGTGTCCTTCGTCATCGTCCCCCTCAAGCTCGGCCTGCTGGACGTCGAGGTCAAGGCGGCCGTCCGCAACCAGTACGTGGGCGACGGGGTCAAGAAGAAGCTCAGGGTCGTGGTGAGTGGCCGCGGCGGTGTTGCCTCCGTTCCCGGGATGTCCCCAGCGCGGTGACGTCCCGGTGTCCCCCTCCGGTGGTTGGGTGGCCGGGTGATGGGCAGCGGGCCGGACACGAGCCAGCAGCGTGCTCAGGTGGCCAAGAAGGCCAACGGCACCTGAATGGTGTGGCCAGCAGGAGCAGGGCAGGGATTGTCCTCCTGTCCTCCTGTCCTCCTGTCCTCCTGTCCTGTCCTGTCCTGTCCTCCTGTCCTGTCCTGTCCTCCTGTCCTCCTGTCATCGCTCCCTGGGCTGGACCCTCCTGCCAGGAGCTCGTGGCGAGGGGTGAAGGATTGTCCCCTCAGGATGGCTGAGAGTGGCCTCCTGGCATTGTCCCAGTACGTCACTGGGGGGGACTGGTTTATACTGGGGGACCTTTCCTGGCCGGTCCGGAGGGGTTGGGAAGGGGAGGACCCCAGCCCCAGCCCCACCTTCAGCGCCGGACTCTGCCCCGGGCAGCCCGAGGGGATGCGGCTGGAGAAGACGGTGAAGATCGTCGAGCTGGACCCGCAGAACAAGGGAGTCAGTGAGTGACACCTCTGGGAGGTCACACGTGGCTTTGGGACATCTCTGGGGACCAAGGGAGGTCCTACTGTGGGTTTGGGACATCTCTGGGGACCAGGGAGGTCCCACTGTGGCTTTGGGACATCTCTGGGGACCAAGGGAGGTTCCACTTGGCTTTAAGCGTTGTGGGGAGACATGGGGAGGATTCGGGGTCACCCAAGTCCACCCCACCCCACAGACGGGGTGCAGGAGGAGCGGGTGAAGGCCGCGGATCTCTCGGACATCGTCCCCGACACGGAGGCAGAGACCAAAGTCAGCATCCAGGGTGAGGCCCAAAGAGGGGACACCTGGGGACAGCCTGGTGGTGGGGTGGGGACAGGTGGGACATCCTCGGGGGTGACACGTCCCCCTCTGGGCCAGGCAACCCCGTGTCCATCATCGTGGAGAAGGCCATCGATGGGGACAAGCTGAAGCACCTGATCGTGACCCCGTCGGGCTGCGGGGAGCAGAACATGATCGCCCTGACGCCCACGGTCATCGCCGTCCACTACCTGGACAACACCCAGCAGTGGGAGAACTTTGGCGTCGACCGCCGGGCGGGGGCCATCGAGCTGATCAAGAAAGGTGGGAACAGCCCCAAAAGGGCAGGGAGTGTCCCCAAAAGGGCTGGGAGTGTCCCCAAAAGCAGTGGGAATGTCCCTCGGTGTCCTCTCTCGTGTCCCTGCCACCTGAGGTGGCAGAAGGTTGCCCCTCTGGAGGAGACCTGGGTTGGGTGAGGCCAGTTTGGGGTTTCCAGTTACTGGTTTGAACTGGGATGGGCTCCAGAGTGGGCTGGTGGCCTGAGGGCTCCTCAGCTTGGCTCCTTGTGCTGGCCGATGGCTGGAGGACACGGGTGGCCGGAGCCACCGCTGGTCACCGCTGGCGTTGACCGGCCACCGTCTCCTCACAGGTTACACCCAGCAGTTGGCTTTCCGCAAGCCCGACAGCTCCTACGCCGCCTTCATCAACCGCCCCTCCAGCACCTGGTGAGGGTCCTGCCGCCACCACCGCCACCACCCGGCCCGGGGGACAGGGCTGGGTGTGACCCAGGTGTCCCCACCCCCAGGCTGACCGCCTACGTGGTCAAGGTGTTCGCCATGGCCAGGAGGCTGACGGACATCGAGCACGATGAGATCTGCGGCCCCGTCAAGTGGCTCATCCTCAACAAGCAGAAACCGGACGGGGTCTTCCAGGAGGACGCGCCCGTCATCCACAAGGAGATGGTGGTAGGGGGACACCTCAGCCCCGTCACTGCTGGGGACGGGGGACACCTCGGGTGGAGGTTTTGGGGTGAAGGTCTGGTTCTTTGGACGTTCCTTGTGTGAAGGTCAGGTGAAGGTCAGGAATTCTTCAGATGTCCCTTGGGTGACGTTTGAGTGTCCCCTGGGTGGCGTTTGAGTGTCCCTTGGGTGGCGTTTGAGTGTCCCCTGGGTGACATTTGAGTGTCCCCTGGGTGTCCCTCAGAGCGGTCAGGGACGGGTGTTCGGAACGAGCTGCTGGGCGCTGGGAAAACCCCGATCCTGAGGTTTTTCCCCTCGTTTTTGTCCCCCAGGGTGGTTACCAAGGTGCCGAGCCCGAGGTGTCCCTCACCGCCTTCGTCCTCATCGCCCTCAAGGAGGCACAGGACACCTGCAAGGACCACGTCAACGTGAGTGGCCCCACGCGGGGACAGGGGCGTTCCTGAGGTGCCAGACCCTTGTGGAAGCCACCTGAGATCCCGAATTTTCCATCCAGAACTTGGACGACAGCATCAACAAAGCTGCCAACTTCCTGGCCCGGCGCTACGAGCAGCTGGCCCGGCCTTACACGGTGGCCCTGGCGTCCTACGCGCTGGCCCTGGCCGGGAAGCTCAAGAGCGAGAAGGTCCTCATGAAGTTCTCCAAAGGTGACACCCCAAGATCAAATTGGGGTGAAAGGAGGTGGTTTGGGGTCTCTGTGAGGTTCTCCAAAGGTGACACCAAACCTGGGGTGGAAATTGGGGCGGGGGGAGGTAGCTTCACCCGGGGGATCCAATTTGAGGTGAAAAGAGGCAGTTTTGGGTAATCATGAGGTTCTTCAAAGCTGGTTGTGGCTCCTCCTGAGGTTCTCAAAGGTGACACCTCACCTTGGGGTCAGCGGAGACGGTTTTGGGTTCTCACGAGGTTCTCCAGAAGTGGTTTTGGATCCTCCTGAGATGGCTCCACACCTGGGGCTGTAATCTGGGGCCAGGGCGAGGTGGCCACGGGGTCCCCGGTGGCTGAGGGTGTCCCCGATGTCCCCACAGGTGGGGCCAGCTGGGAGGAGCGCAACGCCCGCACCTACAACATCGAGGGCACGTCCTACGCGCTGCTGGCCCTGGTGGAGATGAGGAAGTCGGAGCTGGCGGGGCCGGTGGTCCGGTGGCTCGCCCAGCAGAACTACTACGGAGGGGGCTACGGCTCCACCCAGGTGGGACATGGGACACCCCCAGCCGCCCCTGGGGACATCTCAGGGGACATCCCTGGTGGTGCTGGGTCACTCAGAAGCCTTTGGGGGCGATGTCCCCAAGCCCTGGTGACCCCGGTGTCCCCTCAGGCCACCATCCTGGTGTTCCAAGCGCTGGCCCAGTACCAGGTGGCCACGGAGGCCCAGCAGCAGCTGGAGATGGACGTGTCGGTGCTGCTGCCGCGCCGCGCCAACCCCGTCAAGTACCGCATCGAGAACCGCAACGCGCTGGTGGCACGCTCCACCGAGGTACCTGTCCCTGTCACCTGTCCCTGGCACTGTCACCTGTGCCTGTCCCTGGCACCTGTCCCTGTCCCTGTCACCTCTGGGCCTCTTCATGTTCCAGCACCATCCTGTCCCCTCTCCATGGCCTTGGTTGTCCTTGTCCCCTCCGTGTCCTGTCACCTCCGTGTCCTCCCAAGGCTTGGGATGTCCCAGGCTGACCTTGTCCCCTCCCTGGAATGTCCTGCCCTGTCCCTGTCACCTCCCTGTCCTGATCTCCGTGTCCCCTCCGTGTCCTGCCACGTCCCTGTCCCCTCAGACCAAGCTGAACGAGGAGTTCACGGTGAAGGCCGAGGGCGTGGGCAAGGGGACGATGACAGTGGTGACCGTGTACCACGCCAAGGTCCCCGAGAAGGACAACAAGTGTGACAGCTTCGACCTGAGCGTGGACGTGGAGGACGTGGACACGGGTGAGTCCCCAGCTGTCCCCTCCCTGTCCCCGCTGTGTCCCCCGTGGGTGCCCCATGTCCCCTTCCATGTCCCCTCCTTGTCCCCACCCAGGCAAGGAAGAGGAGGAGATCATCAGGTCTGTCAAGATCACCATCTGCACCAGGTGGGGACACTGGGGACACTGGGGACAGGGAGGGGACACTGGGGACAGGGAGGGGACACTGGGGACAGCAGGGACAAGGATGGGGACACTGGGGACAAAGAGCACTCAGCCTCACCTTGTCCCCTGGGTGGAGAACGGGGACATCGGGGAGGGGGACACTTGGGGACACTGCAGGGGTTGGGGACAGGTGGGGGTGGCCTCAGCCCTGTCCCCACAGGTACCTGGACACCGTGGATGCCACCATGTCCATCCTGGACGTGTCCATGCTCACGGGCTTCTCGCCGGACGTCCAGGACCTGAGGAGGGTCAGTGTGGGGACACGGGGACACCGTGGGGGGACATGGGGACACCTGGGGCGACCTGGGTGAGACAGGGGACCCCACGTCTTCGTGCCACCGTGCGCCACCATGTCCCCACATGGCCACACGTGCGTCCCCGTGTCCCCCGTGCCCCGGTGTCACGCTGTCCCCGTGTCCCCGCTGTCCCCAGCTGTCCGAGGGCGTGGACAGGTACATCTCCAAGTTCGAGCTGGACCAGGACAAAGAGCGGAGCAACGTCGTCATTTACCTGGACAAGGTGGGGACACTGGGGACACTGGGGTGGGGACAGGGACAAGGTGGGACAGGGACGGGGTGGGGACAGGACGTCACAGGGTCCGAGATGGAGTTGGGGACGCGCAGGGACACGAGGAGGACAGGGCTGTGACAGGGACACAGCTGAGGTTGGGGACAATGCTGGGGACAGGAGCGGGCGGGTTGGGGAGGTGGCTCACAGCCTGAGTGCCACCCCCATGTCCCTGTCCCTGTCCCCAGGTGTCCCACAAGGCCCAGGAGTGTTTCGCCTTCAAGGCCCACCAGAGGTTCCAGGTGGGGCTGATCCAGCCCGCAGCCGTCAGCGTCTACAGCTACTACAGGATCGGTGTGTCCCTGTCCCCGCTGTCACCAGTGTCACCTGGGCCACCTGGGCCACCCCTGAGTCCTGCACTGTCCCGCCAGCCCGATGTCACTGCCCTGTCCCCACCCCTCCTGGTGTCCCCATGTTCCCCCTGGCTGCTGTCCCCTGATGTCCCCTGCTGTCCCCTGACGTCCCCTGCTGTCCCCGTGTCCCCTGCTGTCCCCTGATGTCCCCTGCTGTCCCCACAGACGATCGCTGCACCCGGTTCTACCACCCGGACAAGGAGGGAGGGAAACTGAGCAAGATCTGCCAGGGGGAAGTTTGTCGCTGCGCCGAAGGTGACACTGGGGACACGGGGACATGGGGAGGGACATGGGGACACACACAGGGACACGGGGACACACATGGGGACACGGGGGCGGGACGGGCAGGCAGCTCTGGCCGGGTGGGACATGGTGGGACACGTCACTGAGGAGCTGCCACATGTCACCGTGACGGGGACACATCCCTGCCACAGCTGACCTTGTCATGACTGTGTCCCTGTGATGTCCCCATGATGTCCCCGTGATGTCCCCGTGTCCCCACAGACAGCTGCTTCAAGCGCCACGAGGAGCCCGAGGCCATCACTGTCAACCAACGCATCGAGCGCGCCTGCGAGCCCGGGGTGGACTTCGGTGGGACACTGGGGACAGTGGGGACAATGGGGACAATGGGGACAATGGGGACAGTGGGGACAATGGGGACACTGGGGACAATGGGGACATTGGGGACAGTGGGGACAATGGGGACAATGGGGACAGTGGGGACAGTGGGGACAGTGGGGACACTGGGGACACTGGGGACACTGGGGACAGTGGGGACAATGGGGACAGTGGGGACAGTGGGGATGTTGGGTGGTAAGGGTGAAGTTGGGGACACTGGGGACACGGAAGTGCCACCGTGGCGGGGGTGGTGGCACTGTCCCCGTGTCCCCTGGCAGTGTACAAGGTGAAGATGCTGGCCCGCAAGGAGACCCCGTCCCACGACAATTACATCATGAAGGTCCTGTCGGTCATCAAGATGGGTACGGCCACCACGGGGCAGGGCCACCACGGGGGGACACGGCCACCACGGGGCAGGGACACGGCCACCACGGGGCAGGGCCACCACGGGGCAGGG